TTAGGGATTTCTCCTCTCCTGATCAGTTGCAGAGAGATAATTCATCTTTGTCTTATCCTCTCTCCCACACTAATCTGTGACATTGATTTTTAAAGTTGTCCATTTTGAAGAATTGTTAGGAAGTTGTAGTCACTTTCAAATTTGCTTCTCTTTGCCAGTGCTCACGACTTTTACACTACCTTGACATAAGACTATCAGTAGATTGAATATGAGGTGGGTACATTTGCCTACTCAATGCCTCAGAATCTCAGGTGTTAAAAATAAGGGAGTAGTATATGATTAGTGAATACATTTATTTAAGAAAGTGTGATGGCTTTATTCCTCAAAGTGCAAAAATACTTGAAGCTTCTTCATGAATTACACAGCTTTCTGTAATTCATTGCAGCACAGGACATAATTTATACTCAATGTTTGATGTTAAGATGGCCTAAAATCAGCAACACCACCTTTCAGAATTTTTTTTTAAGGCAATTGGGGTTAAGTGACTGGCCCAGGGTCACACAGCTAGTAAATGTCAAGTGTTTGGTCTGAGGCTGGATTAGAACTCAGGTCCTCCTGACTTCAGGGTCAGTGCTCTATCCATTGTGCCACCTAGCTGCCCCTAGAATATTTTTAGAGCACAGTTTTACCAACTAAATCTTTTTGATTTGCTCTGAATCATTAGAGTATTGAAGTACACATCATACATCAACATTTGTGTACTTTTCTTCTGAATTTTACTGGTTTATATTTTTCTAATGATTGAAATCCATTTTGTATAGTTAGGCTGTTGACTATCTTCTTTACATTTTTGTAGACCTCCATTTACCCTGGCCCCTTAATATAAAGGTGACATTTACTAGTTCTTTTTAAAAAAAATTATAAAGTTCTTTCCTCACAAAACTCTGTGATGTACCAGTGTTATTACCCCTATTTTAAACATGAGTGACCTGAGGGGCATAGAAGTTAAATTATTTGTTCCCAGTCACATACTTTCTACAAGGCAGCATGGTACAGTGGAAGGAGGGCTGAATCTGGAATCAGAGGATCTGGGTTCACATTCTGAGTGCACTACTTATATAATAATTACTTTAGACCATTCATTTAATCTCTCTCACCTTATTCCCTCATTTTTAAAATGAAGGAAGTTGGATCAGACAACCTCTGAGATACCTTTCAGCTCTAAATTTCTAACATACAATTATATGAGCCAGGGACCAAACTTAGGTCATCTCAGTGTCAAGTTCTATGTTCATTCCACTATTCTGTTCTCATCTCATCTTTGGTTTTCAAGAAAAAGCCTTTTTTCCCCCTTTTTTTGACAAGTGTTTTATTTGATGCAATTTTAGTAATAGTGGAAATATTTGCTCCCAAAGAAAAGCATTGGAATGTCAAACATCTTGCACTGACCTGCAGATGCTTATATTTTGTCACTAACAAGTGGCTATTATCTGTTCCAAGTGCAGACTAGATTCCTTTTTAGAAAATTATGTAAAGAGTATTGAATGACTTTCACTACTCTTTAGGTTATCCAAGATAATGAAATGTTCTTCAAAAAAGAAACAAACAAAAAGAAAACATAGTACTTCATTGTGGAATATATATATGTATGTGTGTGTGTGTGTGTATATATATATATATATATGTATGTGTGTATATGTATGTATGTATGTATGTATATGTATGTATGTATGTATGTGTGTATAGGTATGTATGTATGTTTGTGTGTGTATGTATGTATGTATATGTATGTATGTATGTATGTATGTATGTATAATCTATCCCAGGAGAGAGAAGGGAATCCTTACCTGTGTCAGGAGGTTAGAATGTAGAAGAATGCCATACAGAGGAGAAAGGGAAGAAGGGTAACAGAACTTTTGCTAATAAATAATTATATGGTTCTGTTTGAAGAGGAAGGAGCCAGAAACTCCTGTGTAGAAGTTACCTGCTGATTCTCCAAGGAATGATAGTGTGCACCCACAAGCACTATAAGGTGAGAGATTATCCAGTTGCTAAGGGGTCCTGAGGCAGTTATTTGTGACTCTCTATCAATGAAGGAGGAATCTTCTGTCTTTCTAAGGCATGTATATAGGATGTGACAGTACTTCCTGAGGCCTGAGAGACTTGATGATTATCATATTCGTGGGGAGTCATGTGAATACAAATGATGCTGTGCTGTTGGAAGGAAGCTAGAAAGTTTACTTCAGTGAATTTTCAATGACAACTGGGAGATGTTAGGGCTGCAGTTTTTGCTAGCAGTGTCTGCTGACATCAAGGAGAGAAAGGTAGAGTTGGGGAGTAAAGAGATGGTTAAAAAATATTGTCTGAACCGTGGTTTAAATGATGGAAATGAGAGGCTCTAGACCAGTGATGGAGAGGTACGGGTATATGTGCTTGAAGTTCTACAAATCTAACTTAAAGGGTTTAAAGGTGAAAATGAAGGGGAGGAGAGATAACTTCACATACATACACAGAGCAAGGTACTAGAGAAGAGGTAAGATATAGGAAGAATAGGGGTTGAGACACCCAGAAGTTCATAAGAGAGAAGATCCAAGGAAAAAGTCAGTAATAAAATCTGTGGCCTCAGATGTCTATAACACAAAGTGTTACTGATAAGTAAGATAAAAGAAACATACTAAAGGAAGGGGTCAAATTTGATCCATTGGTATTACTTGACTTTGATGGAATGAGACAATGATTTGACTATGGCCTAAAAAGATATACATTATTTAAAAGATATAAAAGGGAGGAGGCTAAAACAAAAGAAACAAAGAGAGATTAGCAATTATTTATGCATACTAAGAATATATGAATTATGTGAATAGATCTAGGAAGAGAAGGGGATAAACATGATAAGCATTTGAGTGAATATCAGTAAAGTCAGAAACAGAAAGAACATTGACATTGAAGTGTATTTGAGAAAACCAGGATGGAAAGAGGAAATAGATTACAAATTCAAGAACTGGATCACAAACCTGGCACAGAGGCATGATGCAGCTATGAGGAATTTAAATGGACATCTGCTGAAGCTCTTTTTTGGACAAATATAAAGCTGCAAATATGTCCTGGACTTGCCTTAATCATCACTTCATCCTCAAAAAAGATAGAAGAATCAACAAAAGGAAAATTATTTTCTGGATCTGATTCTCATCAATGGAGAACTAATTATTACTAAAATGTTAGGAACTTTGAGGAAAGAATTTTGATAGAGAAGGAAAGGTAAGTTGGCCATGATTTGTCAGGAATCCCTGATCTGGCAATTCGTAGAATAGAAAGATAGGATAATATTTGCTGAAATTCTGGGAAGTTCTGAAAATACAAAAAAGAAATTATTCTAATGAAGAAAAGAGGTGATTTTCTTAAAAGAACATTGCTGATACACAGAGAACTCGACAACTAGCTTAGATTTTAAAAAGGCGTGTGCAAAAGATGAAAACAAGAGAAGGAAACAATACAAATGTAGGACAGTCTTCTAAGAATGGTGTCAGGAGTGCTCAATCTGAACAAGAGCTGCTACTAGCCACAAAAGTTCAGAATAAAAAAAAAGGCTTTCAAAAATCTCTATTGAGGGAGAGGGCAGAATCAAGCAAGGAACAGAGCACTGATTGGGATGGATGGAACAATGAACACCAAAGACAGGAAAACGCAAAACTCCCCGACTCTGAATTTGATTCTGTTTTCTGTCAAATAATATGATCTTTGGATTGGGAAGGACAGAACAAAAAGGGCTACCAGTATACTCAAGGAGATAACAAGAGAGTACTTAGCTGTAGCTGATGAAATCAGGTCACCTTACCTAAATGTTATACAATCTAGGGTAATGTAAAGGGAGGTGGGGATTCCTAACAATGATAGCAATCCAAAACATGAATTGACTTCCTCAGGAAGTCATTAGTTTCTTCACCATGGAGGCCCTCAAGCAGAGGCTGAATGACTCTTTACAAGGAAAATAGAATTCTTGCTCAATTATGTATTGGACTAGATGCCTTCTGAGAATCCTTCCAACTCTAAAGTTTTGTAATTTTTCTATAATTAAAAGAAAAAAGAAAAATGTTTCTGTGGTGTACCTGAAATAAGTATTTCTTTTGGTTCTGTAATATAGCTTGAATCTTTTCTGACTCTTATTTTATCTGAAGAGTTATGTCAACTAGCAAAAAATATTTGCAAAATCATACTTTAGTAATATACAACTAAATATTTTGAAAATAGTTTAACATAATTTGTAAGTTCATAATCACTTAAGCCATGAACTTCATCAGCAGTAACTGCAAATATAACCAAACAAAAATGTTTCCATTTATTTTGATTAAATGACAAAGAAAAAAGTTATTTTTAAAAAATTAGCATTTCTCTTTAAATTAGGCTAAATGGATCTAAAGATAGTTTATCCAGGGGTGGAGAACCTGTAGCCTTCAGGCTCAAGTATGGCTCTTTGACTGAATCCAAACTTCACAGGACAAATCTTTTGTTTTGAGGACTTGAGGACCTAGAGGGCCACATGTGGCCTTGAGGCCATAGGTTCCCCACCTTTGGTATGCAGTCCTGGACATAGAGGTTTCTCAAAGGTTAAGGCCAAGAAAGCATAAGTTCTGGAAGATCTTACTAACACTGGAATCAAGTAGGGTCCTGGAGATCAGCAGAGCATGTGTCCTCTTAGGAGGACACTAAATTCAGAGAGGCTCCTCACCAGAAGAGTAGGTGGTAAGATTTACGTTTATTTTCAACTGTAGCAACTCTGATCATTGACTAGGTCAGAAAGATGTTGTGTTGCCTGTTAAGGCGAAATTACATATGCCCCAAAATACTGAAATTAGTCTCCTTGGCTACAGGTTTTCAAGATAGTGATTTATAAAATTATGGATATGGGCTATTGCTTCTTTACTGAGACTTCTCATACAAATACACATTTTTATAGAAATTATCCCATGGTTTTCTAAAAATAAAAAAAAAAACCTGATAGTTTTGTCTGTCAGTCAGTGTATACAGAATATGTAATAGGATAATGGACTGAGAAAGCATTATTACGCGTTTATAATACATTTTTACTTTATTTTAAACATACTTTGCATGATATAAAAATATTGATCACAGTGAGCTTTAACAATTGTTATTGCTATAAACAGGAATGCTGCACAATATTTTTAGTGGAAATAAATTATATAGTCATTATCTTTTTTAAAAATCACAAAAGGAGAAAAATCCTAGGCTGTTTGGTCATTGGTAGAAAATGGGTCCTTAAATGAGTTCTTTATGCAAGTGAGCCCCATCCACATTGTTCAGGAAAAATCAGTTGTGTCTTCATTGTGGCCCCAACAAGGTCTCTGTTCATCAAGAGTTCCAAATGATAGCAATATAGTCTGATTTTCATCATAGAAAACTGTATGCTCAGCTGGCAAATGATGCTGTTTACTTAGTTCATTTGTGGCCTTTTCCAATGTGAAGGGACACAACGACATACTTCTTCACTGAATGAAAATCTTGGCTCACAACGCTTCACTTTACCCAGACATGGTAGTCTGTAACAACTGGGGGGAAAAAAGGAGAGGAAAAATATACCTTGGTTAAAGACAGTGGAAAATAATATAGCATATTTACCCATATTAAAATTGCAAATATTTCACTAATGTTATCAATTTAAAAGAGAAGGGGAAAACTCTGCCCAATGTATTGGACAATGACTTAATAACTAGAAGGATGTTAATGAAAACTCATGATAGGTACATTATGAAAATCATTTTTTTTGAAGTACAACTCTGTATGCTGTAATGAAAGTACCATGTAACATAATTTATGAAAGGAAATATTTAAGGGCTGCTGATTTACTGTGATCACATAATCATGGCAGAATTTGCAGGAACTGGGAACTGGAATGAACCCCAGGCTTTTATGTGTTCAAACAGAGCCATGCTATGACTGAATGAGCAGCCGCACCCTCACTCCTCTTCTCCAGATAGCAGATGGCTGTAGGATGTCTCCCAACAACCCCCATCCCCTTCCTGTCTGGTCTTCATGTGAAACTTATAAAACAAGGAGGAACAGGATTCAGGGAGAAGAACAAGAACTCCACTTTTTAGTCTCATTATAATAAAGTAGCAACCTCCACTCCAATTACAAGAAAAAAGTTTGTGCAATGGATAGAAAAATAAACCCAAATTATACTGTTTACAAAAATCAGGATGAATTCAGAGAATTTAACAGATCAAAATTTAAATATCCTTCTAAAAACTATTATCCTCACAAACTCACAAAAGTTAAATTGACATTGATGATAACGGATAAAATCCTGATAAAAATATTAAGAGAGATTATACTTAAAGGTTAAATTCAATAGAATATATTATTTTAATTACAAATATGCCTTTGTTTTATAAAATGTGAAATGTATGAGCTTGCAATTTTACAAGAAGTAATAAATCTTTAAAAATACATGTAGTAATAGTGGGAAATTTTGACAAATCATGGGCAGCCATTCAGCTAGTTCATCAGTCCATATATGTTGGTCAAGCACTATACAATAAAAATATGGTGGTCTGAGAGTTGAACAGGAGGAAGATAGCAGGTTGTGTTGCATTTGGGAAATTTGATAGTACTCATAACGATTTGATAGTACTCCCTGACACAAAAGCCTATCTGTTCAACACCTATATTCTCTCTCTGTTATGTTATATGGCTACAAATCATAGAATTGGTAACCACAACCACTGAAGCAACAGTTTTAGGTGTGACTCAAAGGACAATGGTTAGACTTATGCTGGGTTTAAGTAGTTTACATCTCATTTCCATTTACTATATATTCATATGCACCAATCATTCAGTAAGCACTTGTCATACTCCTACTTGGTTCTAAGCATTGGGTGAGGCTCTGGAGAAAGAAAGAAAAAAATGAAAAAGTCCACTTCCCTAGAGCAGCTTATAAGGGGACACACACACACACACACACACCCCTACATGCAGAAGATCTACCAAATAAAATTTGGAGAGAAAATACCAGAGCTTGGGGTGTCTTGAATGCTTTCATGTAGCAGGTTAAATGATGCATGTTTGAATTGAGTCTTTAAGGAATCAATGCATTCTAAGAGTTGGAGGTGAGGAGGGAGTACATTACAAATACAGGGGCCAGCCAGTGCAAAGGAATGCAAGGTGGACTAACACGTGACAGAAATAACAACAAGACCAATTAGGCTAAATCATAGATTAAGAAAAGGGACCTTATATGTAATGAGGCTGGAAATGTAGTTTGGGATCAATTTATAAAAAAGATTTTGGAGGCTATCCTAGAGGCAATAGAAAGTCACTGGAATCGATTGAGTACTACAGTGACATAGTTGTCAGATCTACATTTTTGGAAAGTTGTTTGGCAGCTGTGTGAGTGGAGTATGAATTGGAAAAGGGAGAGATAAAATTCAGGGAGACCAATTAGGAGGATACTGTAAGGTGAAGTTGAGGTGATGAGGGTCTTAATCTAGTAGTCTTGTGAATACAGAGAAAGGGCCAAATGTGAAAGCTATTATGAGGGGAAATTTTCATAAAAGATAAGTAAGAAGGATATATATGGCTGGATGAGCAAATGGGATGGCCATATATATATATATATATATATACATATATATATATACATATATATTATATATATATATATAAAATATATATATATATATAAGTAAGGAATAGTCACCCAAAGTATTTTACTGGTTTTCACAAAAAATTTTTTTAAACTTAGAAATGGCTTTCAGTATGTTGAGTAGATCCTCTGTGGTGGATTTGTTGAAGGACTGGAAAAAATACTTATTAATGGTAAGGAATGGATAGATTTCAATTTATACCAGTAGAGGCAGTACTCACTCACATTGATGGGATAATAAACCTATGAAAGTATCAGAATGGTATTTGGATATTTTAATTCTATTTTATCAGACTATGATAAATCTGATGAAATATGAATGAGAAAGAATTATAGAACTAAAGGAAACTCAATGGAAAATATGAAGATATGACTTTACATGGAACATATTGCTTGGGTTACAATAAAAACCCTATGGCAAAAAGAGAAACTTAGTTGAGCTTCAACTTAAAAACAAAGCATAGAAAATTAATGAATCAATATATGAAGAAAAAAAGAAAGACTAATTGAAAATTTTTAAAAAATAGAATGAAATAGAAAACTAAGAGGATTTTAAAGAAACCCAAACCAAATTTTAACCAAGTAGCAAGTTTTTTGAGAGAATACCCCAATTACCAATATAAAAATTAGAAAATAATGCCAATGAAAACATGTATCAGTAACTCTAATAAATAGCTCAATGCTAATAAAAGAAATGGTATGTTTATCTCACTTGTTGTGCTGAGAAAAAACCCAAACGAATGAAAGAAATTGCTACAGACAGCATTGATGAGTTTGCTTTTACCAAGTTAGAATTTTACAAAGTGAAAAAGTGGATCAAGAACTATACCTGGAGTCAGGAAGATATAGGTTTGAGTGTCACCTTTGCCATATATTGGCTGTTTGACCCTGTACAAGTCAAACTTAGTGCCCCCAGGGAACAAGGACAATAAATTATGGAGAGGGTAGTGATCTGTGTTGGTAGATGAAGTTCCCCTCTAGGAACTCCCTGTATTAATGAAATCATAGGTCTACTCAAGCTGTTTCTTCTTCAAGTAAAATTTTGCATAACAAAAAAAGTCTCAAAAATAAAAATCAAAATACCAAATTGGGGGAAATATTAGTGATAAATATATCAAATATATCCTCTCTAGACAATTCTCTGTATAAATGAAATGACAATTTCCAGTCCTAGCCCTCTCACTATAATAAAGATCCAGAACTTATAAGAACTAATATACATCTATAGGAATATCAATTTTGTAAGTGGACATAGTAAAACAACATGAATAGATAATTTTTGAAGAAAGAAATACAAATTTTCAATAACCACAGGAGAAGCTATTCAAATTCTCTAATTATCAGGAAAATCTAAATCAAGACAACTTTAGGATGTAATTAGATTAGATAAGTATTGATGGAGACCACGAACTGATGCAGGCTTTTTGGAGCACAAAGTTGACAATATGCAATAAAAGACACAAAATTGATCAGAGGAACTTTTGATCCTGTGGTCCTATTATTTGGACTTTAGCCTAAAGTTATAATTGAAAAGAAAAAAAAAAGAACTGATCTGTTTAAAAATATACATAGCAGGATGCTTTATTTTTAATAATGTAAAACTGGAACTAACCTAAATAGTCTACAATGGAGAACGACTGAATAAGTTAAGGAACATTAGAATATTGGAATGTTATAGTTCCATAAAAATGACCAATATAAAAAAATATAATGTAATATGGAAAGACATATGAAGTCAATAAAAATGAAATTATATGCATGCATATATATGTATAATTATATTAGATATAGATAGATTTCAATTATATTTTAAACCAAAAAGCTTTAAAAATACACAGTATGTGTATATAAATATATATTAATATTTTCATATATATATGTGTGTGTGTGTGTGTGTGTGTGTGTGTGTGTGTGTGTGTGTGTATTCCATTTAGGCAAAATGTAAATAATTCAAATTTTAGGGTTTTCAATAATTTCCTGCATAAACTTCTGGTCCCAGGCCTTATCACGATGCAGAGTTAGCTTTGTGTTCTCAAAGGATGTTACAGGAGTATACATTCCCTCAAGTACTCTTCATCCTGGAAGCTCAGTCCAGCCCTGGAATTCACACCTTCATAGTACCCTATGACCCTTCTGATTATTGGATGGCTCCCCCCAGGACCTCCATTTAAGAATGGTACCCAGGCCAGTCTTCTTTTTACGTCTCCTCTGGCTGTGATCCAAACAACTCACTCCTACCCGTGTCTCCCCCCACTTCTCTTACCCTTTTCAGCAACTCCTAGAGCGCAGAGACTACCTTTTTTGTTTGTATTTAAATTCCCAGCATTTAGCACAGTTTCCAGCAAGTGTTAGAGCCTAATAAATCTTTGTTGACAGACTGACTTTAAAGTTGTCCTATGCTAGAAAGGCTACAAGTGTAATCCTGTTGACAGATTGAATCTCTTAACAAAGGACCAATTAACTGAGTGTACACAGGTTGATTACCCAAGTGGTCCTTGCCAAATGAGCCTTGCCAACATATCCTAAAAAAAAAAATTAATGGCCTTCAGGTCCATAAAGTCTCTTTATTATTTCATAGTGATCCATAGTGATGGAGTAGCCATCCAAAAAAAGAAAAGAAAAAAAGAAAAGATTACAATGCACTAATAATCATATGATATTTAGGCTGTCTATAAACTAGAATCTAGGTACTGGTACTCTAAATGTAAGATCTTTGTCCAATTACAAATAAAGTAGCATATTACTGAAAGCTGAATAACAGCAGTATTAATATATTTGTAATAAACTAACCAAAAATTGGGCAGTCAGGTGACACAGGGAATAGAGTTCTGGGCCTAGAGTCAGGATGACTTATCTTCTGGAGTTTAAATCCAGCCTCAGACACTTACTAGCTGTGTGATTCTG